GGCTCCCGACGAGGGAGCCGCATCGGGAACGGCAAACTGTTCTTCGTAGCCCTCCTGGTCGTCGCTGGCCCCGTGGCCTGTCGTGAAGGTTCCCTCAGAGCTCCACGACGCGACAGGTCTCTCACTGTGCTCTCCTGCAGTCGGCGACCTTCCAGCCGACTGCGCACCTGCCTCCGTTGCCTCTTGGATCGTTAGCCCGTCATTCGAAGTAGTACTCCCGGGTCGCGGCACCATTGTGGAGTAGCGCCCTCGCAGAAATCTCGCGAATGCGATCTCGCACAAACTCGGCGCGTCTGGATAGCGGTCGCGCCGAGCGAATTATTCCCGGTTGTTGGAGTAGCGTATCTTCGAAATACAGGCCCAAGTCTTCGCAGGCTTCAGAGTTGGGGGGTTCTTGTGTTGACGCTTGTTCCTTGTCGTAGGGCGTCGAGCCTTGGGCGTGCGGCGTTATCGGGCCGGTGTTTCCTCGGCGTTCCCGTCGGCCGTGCGGCGGTATCAGGCCGGCGTTTCCTGGGGCTTGTGCGGCGTTATCAGGCCTACACGGGGGTCTTGTGCACGGCGGTTATCAGGCCAGTGCGGTCCTTCGCCTAGGCAGCGCGTTATCGGGCGCCCACCTAAACGGTATACGTTTAACGTGCCTTTGTTCCAGCACGGGTCTGTGGGGGGGGGGAGCACCCGAACCAGCAAACGACGGGGGGGGCGCGATATCGAGGCGGCTCTACTTGCCGGCGCTTGGTGGTTTCTGATGGAAGGTATGGATCTTGGACACGAAGCTCGGACGAAGCGGAGGGAGGGACGTCGCAGACGGCGGGACCGGAGCGAAGGCACTTGAGGGGTAGAATGAAGATTCGAAAGTGATTGAATTGTTGGAGCTTACACCCTACTGTTATAGACACGCGACCCTGCGTCCTATCACCTAGTGCATCTAATCAACCATCACTCACCGGTGTTCATCCAATCATCCTACTCGTCTAATCATCGGTGGCGTAAACAACTTACCGTAATCACCATAATCAACGTGGGTTCGGATTGGACCGGTTCGGGTTAACTGGTTAATGGGTACAACTGGTACACAGTACCCAAGACCAGCAACCCTCAATACGCCCCCTCAATGCGAAGCCCCACGAATGCCGAGAGCCACCGTCAGATCCGTGTGGCGTGGTCCCGCAAGCGCCTTCGTCATGATGTCCGCTAGCATCACAGAAGTCTCGCAGTACTGGAGCTTGACTTCGCCGCGCTTGACTTCATCGCGGATGTGGTGGTACTTGATGTCGATGTGCTTGGCGCGACCGTGGTTCACTGGGTTCTTCGTCATCTTGATGCACGACTGGTTGTCTTCGCGGATCATGAGTTCGGGTCCAGTCTCATTAGCGGCCGCCAGAATCTCGCATAGCAGGCGATGAATCCACTTGCCTTCTTGGATAGCCAGACTGAGCGCGATGTACTCCGCTTCATTGCTTCTTGCTTCCCCAGCTCACAGGCGTACTCATGAGCATGAACGTGTAGCCTGAAGTGGACTTGCGGTCGGCGAGGTCGCCGGCCCAGTCCGCATCCGAGTAGCCACGAAAGTCGATCTTGTCGCCCGGCTTGAAGCAGATCCCATGCGTTTTGGTGCCTTGCAGGTAGCGAAAGATACGCTTGACCGCAACCCAGTGTTCCTCTTGGGGGTTCTCCATGAAGCGCGATACATAGCCAACGGCGTACGCGATGTCTGGGCGCGTGGCGGTCATCAAGTGCATCAGAGCACCAACAGCTTCGCGAAACGGAGCGTTCACCTTGGTCGCCGCGTCGCTTGGAACCAGTCGAGTGCTCATGTCCACCGGACTCACCACGGCCTTGCACTCGTCCATGGCGAAGCGCTTCAGGATGTCGTCCACGTATCGCCGCTGGCACATGGTCACGCTGCCGTCCGGGCCGTCCACCAACTCGATCCCAAGAACAAACGCGCACTTGCCGCTGTCGGTCATCTCGAAGCGCGTCTTCAGGTCGGTCTTCGTGCGTGCGATCAGCTCGGGCGAACTTCCGGTAATCAGTACGTCATCCACGTACACCAGTACAAGCACGCAGTGACCGTCCACCACCTTGATGTAGAGGCACGGATCGAAGGCCGACACTTGGAAGCCGATGGAGCACACGAACTCGTCGAAGGTCTCGTTCCACACTCGCGAAGCTTGCTTGAGACCGTAGATGACCTTCACCAGTTCCAGGCAGTCGAAGTCACCATCCAGTTCGACGCCTTCCGGAACCACGCAGAAGACCACCTCCTTCATTATCCCGTACAGGAATGCTGTCACCACGTCGAGTTGGTCGAGGGGCCAGCCAAAATACTTAGCAATCGCGATCACCATGCGCAGTGTCACATACTTGACCACGGGCGAGAACGTCTCGGTGTAGTCAATGCCGTACTTCTGCTTGAAGCCCTTGGCCACGAGGCGCGCCTTGTACTTCTCGATCGAGCCGTCCGCTTTGCGCTTGATCTTGAACACCCACTTGGTATCGATGGCGCGTTGTCCGTTAGGCAACTTGGCAGCTCGAAACACACCACGCAGTCGCATCGACTTGAGCTCCGCGCGGATCGCTTTGCGCCAGTGCACTTGATCAGGACCGTTCACAGCCTCTTGGAACGTCGTCGGCTCCGATAGATCGGCTGCTGCTTCCACAGCGTTGGCACTGGCACGCCAAAACACTGGGGGCGTCGAGTCGTCGTCTTCATCTTGGTCCCCAGACTTTTCTTCTTCGTCGGGGTCGGCTCGGCGCGAGGAGGATACGTCCGGCGCACTTGCTTCTTCTAAGCCAGCTCGGTGGCGAACGGGGCGCGATCTTCTGGCAGTGTTGTCGTCGCCACTCGGTCGGTACTTGCGCTTCCCCGCCTGCTTGAAGCTCGTTTGGCGCGGTCCATCGTTGTCGTCCAGGTCCAGCGCGTCCAAGTCCAACACAGCATCATCGACGTCTTCATCCGAAGTATGCGTCGAAAGTCCAAAGGTCGACTCATCGAAGTTGACATCGCGACTGATAACCACCTGCCCCGCCTCGATGTCATAAACTCGATACGCCTTGGACACTTCTTCGTAGCCGAGGAACAGCCCGGCGCGAGCCTTGGGGTCCCACTTGCGCCGTCTTTCCTTCGGCGTCAGGATGTACGTCTGGCATCCGAACACACGCATGTGCTTCACACTCGGCTTGGACTTGTAAACGATCTCGAACGGAGTCTTGTGTTCGATCTTGGGTGATGGCAGACGATTCTTCACGTAGATGGCTGTCATGGCCGCCTCAGCCCAGAAGCTCTTGTCCAGCTTGGCGTGATGCAGCATGCTGCGGCCAATCGTGACGATGGTCCGGATGGCGCGTTCTGCCGTGCCGTTGGTCTGGTGCGCGTACGGAACCGTGGTTTGCTGCTCGATGCCTTCGACTTCGTAGAAGGCCTTGAGCGAGTTGGTCGCGAACTCACGGGCTCCGTCGTGCCGCACAAACTTGACCTTCTTGCCGAACTGCGTCTGCACCTTCGTGACGTACATCTTGATGCAGTCCTCGCTCTCCGACTTGGCACGCAGAACCCCTTCATGCATCCGCTGGCTTCGTCCACGATCAGCAGCAGATACTTGCTGCCACCCAGTGACTCTTCTTCCATGGGGACGCACACGTCGAAGTGGAGCAGCTCGAACGTGTCGTAGTGACGCTTGTCACGGTTGCTTGGGAACGGCTTCTGGACCATTTTCCCTTGCTGGCAGCCGCGACACACGCTTGGTCCACTCGACTTGGAAGGTGCCTTCGCGTCCTTGATCATGTTGTTGTCGACCATCTTGCGAAGCACCTCCACCGGAGCGTGACCCATACGCGCGTGTAAGTCGACCGTCTTCCCACTGGTCGCCGCATTCGCCGATCGCTGAGGCGTCTGGAGCCAGTAGAGTCCATCCACGAGGTTTGCCGTCGCCACCACTTGCTTGGAGCCCTTGTGCGCAATCTGCATCTTGGTGCTGTCGAACACGACTTGGAACAGACCACTCTTGTTGATCTGTGGCACCGAAAGCAGATTCTTGCTCATGCTTGGGACGTAC